AGTAATTAATTCATTATTTTATATGGATAATATCTGTATTAATAATAGTAACTCATTAATGAGCATGCATTTTAAAATGTAGTCTGGAGCTAGTTTCAGTTGGCAGTGTTGACTACCTAGAATAACCATTTTGATGTATAAGGTTAGGCAGTTTAGTGCTCTGAACATCCTTAAGTCAACAGCAGCATTTGCATTGCTGTTGTGCCTTTGGGCATTTGTGGTGCCTCATCCACAGCCCAGAACTCCAGGCAGCCCGTCCCTCTGTACCTCTCCTGTTCTCTGTGTGGGTGGAAGCCCTTCTGACCAGGGTGTCTGATGAGCCCACCTTGAAACAAAGCCACTAGGTGTCCCCTTAGCTCCTCTCTTTATTTGGGCAGGCTTGTACTTACCAAAACCCACTAGAATGCTGCTAGCTTTGAGAAGAGAGGGTCCATGTATCGATTCTTCATGTAGGTTCCTGTACTTGGCAGATGTTCTGTCTTTTCCTGTATTCTTACTGCAAGCTTTGCTGTTCTTGCCTTTGCAGAGGATGTGGACCCTTCTGTTGGGCGGTTCAGGAACATGGTACAGACAGCAGTAGTCCCTGTTAAGGTACTGAGTAATTCCCTACTTCATAATTAATACATTGCATTGATGAACTCACTCTATGGATTACACCTTAGAAACACAATGTTCTACGGTGAAAAGTGTTTTATTGTTAAGCAAAAGTCAAGTTTGTGTTTCACAATTGTGGGTATTTTTAGCAGATCAACCGTTTCCCTTCAAATCCAGCTTTAGCTCTTTGCTTTAAAAGCACATGGGATCAAGGGCAATTTTATTTTTTTTTTCTCACAGAAAGAAACACTTCCCAGAAATTCAGGATGGTAGTTCAGTTAAAATTATAGGAGTGTGGAAAGTAAAAAGTGAAAATGGGAGGATCCTTGTTTAAATACTCCAAGTCCTAAAGCTTTCCTAAGGTTGTCTACTAGAACTAGCAGGAACTAGTCTAGATTGTCTCCTGGACAATGATGTCTACTAGAACTAGTCTTTGCTCCCAGATGAGTGTGTTTCCAGTGCTATAATTAATTGGTATATGCTAGGAGTAGGGAAGATTTGCAACACTAAGTAGCTAATTGCAGTTTACCTTGTTGCTGTTATACACTAAATAATGTATGTGGAAAAGGATCATTCTGCAGAAACCCCAGACTGCAGAAGAAGATTCAAATGATCAGGAGCTGGGCAAAATCACCCAAGTGATCTAGAATTTGAAGTTTCTTACTCTGGGGGAACAAGGGTCTGTGTTACTGACGAAAGACCTACTCAGTCTTGCATTCAGGGCAAGCTCAAGACTGGCAGGCACATACAGGAGGCAAAGAGGTGCTCAGACCTGATCTAAGTTAAACCTGAGCTTCAACTTGTGTTACTTCCTGCATTGTGAACCTTTAAGAATTTATTACGTGGTTTTCAAGAAAGCTGGGACAAAGACTGGGACATGGTCTGTAACCCTTTGTATCCCAGTGGTCTGGGTCCCTTGTTGGGGAAAATTACAGTGGCATCCAGTTTAAATAGCTTCTTTGTTTCATGTGTTTTGAATAATTTTTTACATACTTCCTGCCTACAGAAAAAACGGCTGGAGAACCCGGGCTCGTTGACCACGGATGATTCCGCATCACACGTATGCAAAACTTTCCCGACAGTGGGGGATTGTATGGTGGGTTACCCCCAACGCACAATGAGGCGGGTTCCCAGTCGCACGGCATCCATGGGACAGCGCTCATTGGTGGTCTGCCCATGCCCTACCCCAATCTTGCCCCAGATGTGGACTTGGCTCCTGTTGTGCCCTCAACAGTTAACATGAACCCAGCTCCAAACCCTGCTGTCTTTAATCCTGAAGCTGTGAATGAACCCAAGAAGAAGAAATACGCGAAGGAGGCGTGGCCGGGCAAGAAGCCGACCCCTTCCCTGCTGATCTGAGTTTTGTTGAAGGAGGATGGGAGTTAAGAACTTCAGAACTGTTCATGTGCAGTATTGTCTTTTTAAAATTTCAGTGTCCTAACCAGATGTAATACCAAGACTGGAGAAGTGAAGTATCCTTTAAAGATCTGTCTGGAAATGTTTTTATATGTCTGTTAAAAAAGAAAAAATACAGCTCCCATCTCCTTTTAAACCAAAATATCTGGCAGCCTTTTCTTAGCCATTACTGTCCCCAGTGGTCTTTCCTCTAAATTTTGATCAATACATGGAAGGGGCAGAATCAGACAATTAGTTATAATTTATGGCATGACCCTGCAAATTTATGTATTTAGGTGTCATGCTTACTATGAGTAACATTGTTCCTACTGGACTTGCTCATAGCAGGTCAGCTGTGTCAGAAGTAGGTGTTTGTGGGGCCAAGCCTTTCAGTTCTGAAAGTATCAAAATGTAGGTCAGCTTTTATTTTTTACATTTTCAAAATCCCACCAATGTGGGGCATTATCTTTTTTGTTGTTGTTTTTTCTTGGCTACAGCTTGTTTTAATTTCCACCTAAAACACTACAGCATCCTCACTAGCTCGTGAGAATGTGGAGCTGAGGTGGACAAGACACAGGTGGGCTTCCTTAGCTGCATCCCAGGGCAGTGGGGTGGGGCGCTGGGCAGGTGGGCAAAGGGCTGCACACGTGGATGGGTCTGAGTGTGTGTTGGTGCTAATGGCCTGGAGGTGCCAAGGAGCCTCTGGCTGGTGGGTACCCATTATCTGCACTCTCCAAACAGTAGACAACACACTAGTGTTGGCTCTCTCCCCTGTGATAACTTGAGGTGGAGTTAACACAGAGGAGAACAGTTTCTTTTTAACTTGGTGTCTGTTTGAACTCAAATAGTTCCATTTGTATTTGCAAAATGGAACTTGTGAGCTTAGAGTATATGTGGGATGATGCAAGAAGACACCATATAGATGAGCAGCTGTCAGCAGTGTCAGAGGACTTGAATGTTTAATGACCAGAACCACAGTCTGCAAACTATTTTGGCTGCTTTTAACAGTGGGTGAGAATTGAGTGCTACTTGAAGCTGGAATATGAATTATTAGTAGAGAACCTGCCTCGCCTTGAGTAAAGCAGTGCACAAGTTCATTTCATAATATTACTTTTTTTACTATTTCATCACTTTTTCCCACGGAATAAAATTATAAGCTTGATTTGGATTGTTGTTCTAGCCCTTCAGATCCTCAGTTTTAGATTCCAAAATCTGATTCATGTGAATTCAGACACTGTGTCTTTGTACAAGGTAAGACCAGAGCTATGCTTTTCTTAGGTTTACTCTGAATTTTTTTACATTCTATAATGCAGTTCAGCTACATAATCACATTCCTTTGTGGGTTGGGGGATTTCTCCAGGAAGTGTGCACTGAAGGGACAGTAGTATGTGTGTGCAGTACTCCAGCTACCTGGCCAACTAGAGCTGTGAGAACCTGGTGGCTGCTGGAGCAGAGCTGTGTTACAGTATGTACAGGATACCTTGTGCACTAGACTTGGGACAGGGGCTCCAAAATCAGTGTGAGTGCCACATCTGTAGAGTGATTATTTCTATCATGTTAGGAGGTAAAAATGAGCTAGTAGCTACCCCATTCACAAGAGCAATGGCTTTAGAAATTGGTTCCTTCCCCTCTACACCATCTTGTCTAGCTCAAACATGAATACAGCACCTTCTCCATCGTGTGGTCGTGCTGCTCTGTGTTTGGTTGCACTTGAATTTGATTCAGTCCTCAGTCTGCTTCCAAACACTCCATGCTGACTCAAAATCTTTTTCTCTTTATTTTTACTTTTGCTTCTTTCCGGTATATAGAATTTTGGGTTTGCAGCCAGTCTGTGTTATGATGGCAACTCTTTAGGGTAAAAACTAGTCAGGGCAAGTAAAAGTTGGGCAGATTTTCTTTTTCCTTTTTTTTTTCCATTTTTGTTTTCTTTTTGGGGGGTTGGGGGGGTTGTTTGTTTTGGTTTTTTGCAAGTGGCTCTTTGCAAGATTTTTCTTGAAAAGGGAAGCTTTACTGCTTGTTGTTTTTTAAAGCTCTTCTCCCCCCTGGCTTTGAACAAGCTCTCATTATTTTAGAGCTTAGGTGCCGTAGCTGGCCAGTACAGGAGGGGACAGTGTCACATCCAGGGGCTTTGTACAAAGTTTGTACACTTGTGTAATATGTAATAGGCCTTTTCACACTTTCTGTTGAGCTTTTTACCTGTAACCTTTACTATGTTGTAAATTAAATGCAGATTTTGCCAGTTTGGAGAGTGTAGTGTGTTCGTTCCCAGTCTACAGTTCTGCAGTTGAGACTGTGTTGGTTTGTGGCTTTCTGAGGGATTTTTGCCACTCGCCTGTCACCCCGTGGCTCAGGCTGCAGCTCTTGGAGCTGCTCCAGCTTCTTTGCTTGTGACCTGCTTTCCTGCTGTGTGCTGCAGTGCACTGAACTTCTGCACATAAGAATGACACTTAACAGTGAATTTTGAACAGCAGTTGCTTTTGTTTTCTGCGTGAAGTTTTACCTGGTTCCAGCATAATCCTCTCTCCACAAAAGTTATACTTCAGAGCCCAGCTTGGCTCTTCTCATTGCTCAGCTTGCTGCCTCTGACCTGTACAGTAGCCTTGGGCAGTCTAAATGCACCATCCTTTGTCACTCTCTGCCACTTGCCCTGGGCTCTGGGGAAAGCTGCAGTGAAAAACAGTAAACTGGGCCCTGGTTAAAGATAACTATGGTGCCTGCAGTTGTAGGGTTGAGAGGGATTCACAAGCTTTCCTGAATTTAGTAATATTTAGGGTATAGATTAGTATTTCTTCTCAATCCAGTGGTATCCTCTAAGGAGCCAGGGCAGTTACATTTCATTATTGTGTGCAGCAGAAGGCAGAACCTTCACATTTCACAGGCAAGCTGCTGATCAACTGCAAGCTGCTGAATTCAACAAGGGGAAGTGTAGAGTTTTGCATTTGGGGAAGAACAACACGATGTCCCAGTATAGGTTGGGGGCTGACCTGCTGGAGAGTAGTGTATGTGAAAGAGACCTGGGGGCCCTGGTAGACAGGAGGATGACCATGAGCCAGCAATGTGCCCTTGTGGCCAAGAAGGCCAATGGCATCCTGGGGTGCATTAGAAAGGGTGTGGTTAGTCGGTCGAGAGAGGTTCTCCTCCCCCTCTATTCTGCATTGGTGAGGCTGCATCTGGAGTATTGTGTCCAGTTCTGGGCCCCTCAGTTCAAGAAAGACAGGGAAGTGCTTGACAGAGTCCAGCGCAGAGCTACTAAGATGATGAAGGGAGTGCAACATCTCCCTTATGAGGAAAGGCTGAGGGAGCTGGGTCTCTTTAGCTTGGAGAAAAGGAGACTGAGGGGTGACCTCATCAATGTTTACAAATATGTAAGGGGTGAGTGTCAGGGGGATGGAGTTAGGCTTTTCTCAGTGATGACCAGTGATAGGACAAGGGGTAATGGGTGTAAATTGGAGCATAGGATGTTCAAGGTGAATATCCGAAAAAAATTTTTTACTGTAAGAGTGACAGAGCCCTGGAACAGGCTGCCCAGGGAGGCTGTGGAGTCTCCTTCACTGGAGACATTCAAAACCCACCTGGATGCGTTCCTATGTGATGTACTCTAGGTGACCCTGCTCTGGCAGGGGGGGTTGGACTAGATGATCTTTTGAGGTCCCTTCCAACCCCTAGGATTCTATGATTCTATGATCTGCCATAGGTAGAAATAGCTGGTGCAGGTTAACTTTGTGGTCTGACGTGGTGTTGGTGTGGTCAGCAGTTAATTTCCTGTATTAAAGAAAGTATTAAAAAGGAGTCACCTGGCATGATAATCTAAGGCACTCTGCAGTGTGGAATGCAGAGTGAAGAAGTGGAGAAGAGTTTGCAGCTAAATAAATGATTGAGGTAAAGAATTCTGGCAGTGTTCTCCAGGAACATCTGTCCTTGCAGCATTCACCAGATTGTCATTGTAATCTCTCTTTTCTCTTGGATTTGAAATGCAAGAGTGCAGCACCCAGCAGGCATCCCCATGAGCTGACGGAAGTTGTTTTATCATGCAGTGAGAGACCAATGTTTAACCTTGTGACAGTGTACCTGAAAGAATGACTTCTTGGAGAGGAGGTGACTTCTCCCTCGGACTTTTTAGGAGAGCTTCCACCACAGGACAGGTGAGTGTGCCAGCAGAACTGTGCGCTCATGCAATTATACAGAGTGCTTTGAAACACTCAATGGCATGGGGAGGACCACAGTAGAGGGCTGGACTGGAATACCTGGCTTAGGACAAACCAAAGAACTGTGGCTGTGCAATGGCTGTTACTGGGCTCAGAGGCTGGTTAAGAGGGTTTTTTTTCAAAAGGAGTTTAATGCAGTCAGGTAGTTTGTAGGTTCTTCGATCTCAAAACTCTGTCATAATCTAGCAGTGGTAAGTAAAAGGGGAGAAAAAAGCTGCTTTCACTTCTGCTCAACACCAGAAACGTGGTGTCACTGGGCCCTGCCTGCCTGGTGCAAGGAACAGGACTGCTTACACAAGGTGGACAGCATGAAGTAGGATAGTTGTGAGATCAGAATAGACAACTCAGTGTTTTGGGTCACAGTCTTCTGAATTAGCCTTCCCTGAAGGTCCCATAACCTGTAAAGCAGGAAGAGGCATCACCTTAGTGCCTGAGATGAATCATGATGCCTGCCCTGCCTCCTTCAGAGGTCCTGCCTACTCCACAAGCATTGATGTTTGTTTCAGTGTTGTCTTTTGCTTTTCCCAGAACTTATGTCATCTTCAGAGAAGCTTTAAGGGAGAAGTAGCCAAAGAGCCAAAATCTTTGCTGTCCACCCTCTCTATCTTGTCATGTATTCTGGCACATCTGGGAAAGGTTTCCATTGCATTTGCAGAATGGTAGAGGAATAGGATGCCGTAAATGCTAGGTGTGCTCCAAGTACTGCTCTGGTCATCTGGTCGTCTTGCCATGGCCCGAGTGGCGTACTGTCATCTTGCAAAGACACCCGGATGGGGAACTGCCTGTGTAGATGCTGGCCTTTGTGGAACTGGCCAGTAATACTGGACTAACTGACATACTGGCTGTAATGGGTCATTTCCTGTCTGAGGTTCACCACCTACTTCTAGATAATGTCAAAGAGGCCTTCCCTTGCTTGAGCCTGG